TCCAGCGGTATCGGCATTCCGTATGAGGTATGGAATCCCTTCACTCCAATTACTCCTCCGCAAGATAGCTGGCCTTGTGACCTGAACATGTCAGGTCTTTGCAGATGACTGCAGCATCCCCACTGATGCCACGACACTCTGCCCCATCTGCGACAAGGCGGACACAACGGTGGCAGGAGAGTTATGTCAAACAGGTGGTAAAAGTTCTCCCCTCTTGGCACTCACTGTTCACGATGAGTTGGCACCGCGATCCAGTGACTTTCTTCCGAGTCAATGTCGTGTGGCTGGTTTTTCAGAAGTGAGGTTGGATAAAGTGCCAACAGCCTTCCGAATTAAAACGACCCAGTTGGAGTTCTGTGAAAAATTCCCCTAAAGTGGATGATGATCTACGGATCTCGATCAAGATTGCTAGGATACCCTCTTTCAATACGCAAGCATCCGTAACAGCCGCCCATGTTGGGTGAAAGGATGAGGTTGGAGAGGGCGGGCTCGAAAAGTCAAGTCTTCGGAGAAGTCGGCATACCCTGGCTCAACTCTTTGGTAAGGACGTGGTACCCCTGAGTATCAGCCTCACCACCTCATGTGCCACATATGCCTGTGATTGCATGGAATCCTAAACCCAGCTGAAAGGCTCCAAATATGCAAGAACACTGATAATTCTAACGGCTGGTCCAGACCGCCAGTTGAGAAACAGCACGTTTTCAAATGTTTCTAGAATAAATGTATGGGTCACAGAGTCTTTCAGATTTTGGCAATCGAACATTTGTACCTGCATCGGTAGCTTGATCTATAAGAATAATGTACCGAACAGGCTTTTCGGGAAAAGTCCGGCGAGGGTTCAAGGGAGGGGGTACGGTTAGTTCCCTTCGATCTTGCTCGAGTCTATGTACTCAGGGGCGAGGTGACAACGTCAGCTCTTCAATTGGCTGTTCACTTTCAGGCCAGTGCAGGTTCCAAGAGAGATCCGGCGAAACGGATACTGTTGGGGTTAGGGTAGAGGGCTTGCGTTCGTTCCAAGGAGGAAAATCACTGTGAATGTCGAAACAATGGCTCGGACTGGGTGGCTCATGCTTTCTGGTAGCTGCTAAGCTTTTAATCTTGCGATGACTCTCAGACTATCTTATCTCATTCTGGTAGATTCATTTGAGCGCCTGGATAAAAATTCTGTCCAGTAAGTGCGAATGTAGATACATGAAGAATCGGAGGTTCAATGCGCTTGTTGGGAAGGTTAGTTCTGGATGTCGTGTTTACAACTTGGCTAAGCCTGGATTTTACTGGAGTCTAGTCATTCAAAATGCCGTCCTTACTCGCGATGGAAAGCCTACCAGCAAAACGCACAAAGCTAAAAGGTGAAACAACAGTATCTTCTGTGACAATTATTCGGATCCCAAAATGACCGAACAGAAGGCTGTTTGTTGAGAAAAGGGTGCCTTGAAAGTAAACTGAAATGGAACATCAAGCATATCTGCAATATTATAGAAGCCTCCATGTTCTCCAGGGACTATAGTGAATTCATTGGGAAAGCATCTTGGTTCCGATGAAATACCAAATGCTGTCCAGAGGAGCAACTTCACCCGCCGTCGCAAGTGCATCTCAAGCAAGCTAAAGATTTGAGATGAATTTTAAAATAGAGTCGAGGCCCCCCCGCACCAGCCTCGAACAAAGAGAAAAGCGTTGAGGGATGCCGTGAAACCTGAACATACGCGGCATGCTCGAATAGTCCAGTCCAGGCTATTCCGGATCGTGCCGCCCTGTTGCCGCTGAATGCTTGTTTTTGATTTCCTTTTCTTACAGGATTTGGCGTTTTGCTCCAGCCCTATGCTGTGAATCCTCAATAGCCAATCGGTTAACTTTGAACGAGCATTGAGATAGGGGTCGTAGCCCTCATTACTGAGACCAGCGCTTCCTTGACAATCTAAAATGGGCTACAGATCCTACTCCCGACCACTGTGATTGGAACTAAGCATGATCGTGAGTGCTCAGGGCATCTGCTTCCCGCCCATTCTCAAGGGTAGCGACACCAGGGAGGGACTTCACATGGGGAACACGCATTGCCCATGGTTTTTAGAACGCAGGACGAACCATTTTGGCTTTTGGATTTCTGCTTCATGCAGGCTGCCACATGCGACGCAGAAAAAGTTTCCAAGAACCAAGATTCGGCCGTGAGTCTTTATTTTTGCGTACTTTCCCCCTCTCGTACGAGACGCCCACCACCGCGAGTCTCGGCCGTGTAAGTGTCCTCGCCCGAAATGAAGGTTGAGGACTGCGTTTGCTCTAAGACACCACCAGGTGAAGACTTCTGCATGTTCAAAAGGAGCCCATCATGCCAGCCAATGGCTCACATGTTGGAGTTTTGCCGGATGTCTCACCCATAACCGAATCGCAGTCCATTCTGGTGACAGCTCAACTTCTATTAGTCGCCGACATGCTTACCGAATTCGTTCGTCTGCTTTTCGGTTCATAGTCGGCGCTAGATACGTTGATCGTCTTAATCCGAGAATTAAGAACGATGAACCGAACGCTAGATAGGCGCTACTATGATCCACCGATGCGGTGTGCCGTGCTGGCCCCGATCAATCCGGGGCAGAGTGGAGACAACGTGGTGTAGCACCCCGAAGATGATCACGTTTTCTTCGGACCCCCACGCGTTATCCCGCCATTCGCCTTCGGCCAGTGGGCGGCCGACCCTGGCAATTTTCCTCCAACAACAATTTTCTCCGCAGAACGATCCCTTTGGACGTGTGAATAGGGAATGACACCAGCATGGACAAAAAACCGAATAGATTACTGGTCCAATGGGGAAAGACTTCACGTTGCGTCCGTTACGCTTTTGGTACGTTTCCGTTTCAACTGAGCAGTCATGGTTAGGTTCCGTGAAGCATGGTTGATAAAGGCGAAGATGTCGTCTCATTCGGGGAAATTGAAAATCCCCGGCCAGTCCACCTAGAAGGGCATCTTGAGAGCCTATGGATGCATAGCATTGGAGGAATACATTGCCACGATGCCAAGAAAACGATGTCGGCTTCGATGTTCTCCCCTGATGTATGTCTTGGCCTCATATCAATCCCAGAGTTGAGGAGAAATAAGGAGAGCTGTGGAGTTAAGAAGTCATATCATCATGCCGCTGCATTTACCAGCGATCGGCATATAAGCGATCATCGTCCGCGTGTCCTAAAACTTATGCTTAATTTCCATCGCTCCACTGAAGTCGTGAAACTTGCTCATCTTGTATACACCTTTTCTCTCTTGATCCTTGTCGCGATGAAGCTGACTGGCTTTGCGTCTTGGGCCTTTCTGGCTATCGCTGCATCGGCTTCGCCCACTCCTACGAACCCTGAAGGTCGTCTCCTGAACAAGAGGGCTGCTGTCACGGATGCAGCAAACATTGGTTATGCCACTCAGAATGGCGGGTGAGGTAGACAATATCAAAGTAGTCCAGAACTTTTGAACTAATCCGTGAAATTTAGAACCAAGGGTGGCGCCGGAGGAACCACTACTACAGTGACGAACCTTGCTCAACTATCCGCCGCAGCGATTGCATCCGGTCCAGGAATTGTCATTGTTTCAGGCAACATTGTCGGCGCGGCAAAAGTCCAAGTCGGCTCTGATAAAACCATCGTGGGAAAGACGGGCAGCTGTAAGTGACGCCACTCCCTCGAACCACCTCAAAGCTAATTTTTTTCGATTATAGCTCTCGAGGGTATCGGCCTCACTATTCTTGGACAAAAGAATGTTATCGTCCGCAACATGAAGATCAGCAAGGTCGAAGCAGACTACGGTGACGCCATTACCATCCAGCTATCCAAGAACGTATGGGTAGACCACTGCGATCTTTCTGCCACCCGCGACGGCGACAAGGACTTCTACGATGGGTTGACTGATCTCTCTCACGCCGCTGACTGGGTCACCATCTCCCATACGTACTTTCATGACCACTCCAAGGGCTCTCTTGTTGGCCACTCTGACAGTAATGCCGCCGAGGATACGGGAACCCTCCACGTCACTTATGCGAATAATCACTTCTACAACGTCCGCAGTCGTGGCCCCCTGTTGCGTTTCGGAACTGCCCATATTTACAACCAGTTCTACAACACCATGGATACGGGCATCAACACTCGCATGAGTGCACAAGCTCTCATTCAGAGCTCCGTCTTTGAGAATGTCGGAAAGAAGGCCATCTTTAGCGAGTCTAGCAAGGAGATTGGGTAAGTGCCTTCAACCACTTTGAACTACCTTAAGCTGGCAGTGTTCCGTGACTAATAATCCTACTCCGCAGGTATGCTGTTGCCATTGATGTTGTGCTTGGTGGTGAGAGCCAAAACACTGCATCAGTTGGCACATTGAATGCTAACAGCCCTCCTTACTCGTACTCTCTTCTTGGATCTGCCAATGTGAAGGCTGCTGTGACCAAGGAGGCCGGACAGACTCTTGGATTTTGAGTGGCTCACGTCGAGTTGTACTGCCAATGTGATAAGCGAAATCCGTCGGGTGTGTCTATGAGAAGTTACAAGGAGGAATGACTTCGTTTGGAAGACCCAGATGACGTTATGTCTTCGGAGTATTGTACATGAAATCTATATCACTTTCTATCTTTCACTCATGATCATGAGGATGAGCTCAAACTGGACCTGAGTTAGAAAGCGATGAAGCAATGAGTTGATCATCTGAGCATTGGCTTGGGATAGATGGTCTTTGTACCGAGAAGAATGCTTGTCTCAAGGCTTGGCAACTTAATCTATCCCGGGTGTCATCGGGTTTCACCTAGGCGTCTGGACAAGGTTATCCAAAGATACGCTCATATTCATCACAGACCACTACATACTACTTAGTACATTTTGACTGGCCACCCCAGCCTTAGTCCTTGACGTTAAGCTTGAAATGCGAGTCATCCCCGCAAGAAAGATCCAACGTAGGCGACGAAATGCCCGTCGCGACGGATGGATGCATGCTCAGAGCCTTTGACAGCAGCCTTCTTGACGCAATCGCTGGAGACGACAGGTTTAAGCGCGACAAAGGGCGCTTATGAGGAGCAGGATGCTCAATGTGAGGTCTCTCGCACGCACTCTCTTGCCTTCGGCGGCACCGCTACCCGTTGGCGTCGCCACAGCTGCGCTCGTTTGTGTTGATGAAGCTGTAGTAAGCGATGTGGATGCCGTGCTTGAGTCAGACGTTGAGATAGAAGCTTTTTGAGACGACGAAGATGTTGTGATATCTGTCGTTACCGTCGCGGTTGGCGATGTAGTCGGGCTTTCAACGACAGACGTAACCTCGCTGATGCGCGAGTAAATATCGGTCGTCCAAGACCTAGTCTTCCACGAGAGGACAGGAGTATTGGGAAAACTCGTAGGCCATGCCACGCCCGGCGGTGTCACCGTGGCGCAGACAACCTCCCAGGATGAGGGCTCCCTTGTGCCGTCGGTGAGACACATGAAGTGGTTGCTGAACCCGTAGGGGTTAGTCGGATTGTCGGCATTCATCTCCGGACTGACTTGACAAAAAGTAGCGCACGAGACTGGGTACACTTGGTCGTTGGGCGACGTCGGGCTCGTGATGTTGTAGACCGTGCCGGAGCAGCATTCCGCAAAGTGCGGGGCGCTGTTGCGGCCGACGGGCGGGGTCTTGCATATTATGCCAGCGATGGACTCCGGCCACTCGGAAAACGCGTTAGATGATAGTGTGTTGAAGGTCACATCGCCAGCACACCTCGGATATATGCTCATGGTGGCTACTTGTGAGTTTTGAGCAAATTTGCAATGAAATTATTTGCTTCGGGAACACGGGGAAACAAGTCAGAGATCTCTAAGCTCAATAAGTATGGAAGGCGTGAAAAGTGTGCAGAAGATTGCTGACGCATCAGGGTGTGACGGCTAGGCTGCCGCTAGCTTGAATCTGCTATGTCGACTAGGGTGGCGATCGTCATGTCCTATCGTCCCGAGGGACTTTTGTGAAAGCGTACTTAATTGCGGACTTCTGATAATGTCGTTTGGTTGAGTTCGGCATTTTTGAAGGGGAAACTTGAATACCATCTAACACCAAGATTACATACAGTGCGCTTATAAATATTCAACCACGAGTGGCAGTCCCAATACTCTCGAATACCTGAAAGACAGTATCTCGAGTTCTGGACGCGATTTCCTCAATCTCTTCGCTTGTACTAGTGTAGGCAGGCGCAAGAAGGACATGATCGCCCAGAACACCATCTTTCGTTCCCATACCTGGATACAGGCTGATGCCGAAGTCGTTGAATCCAATAAGATAAGTTTTGTTCGCGATATCCTCAAATCTCGGGAACGGTTCTTTGGTAAGTCTGTCCATGACAAACTCGATCTACAGGAGAAAGGCTTGTGAGTTGGCGCCTCGAGAAAGTAAAGAGTGAATAGGCTCTGATAGACTTACCCCCCAAAAGAGGCCTTTGCCTCGGATGTTGCCAACATGAGGGTTGTCATCTAGGTAGTACCGCAACCGCTTCTCAAGCAGAGCGCCCTGTTTTCGAACATTTGCGACGAGATCCTCTTCCCGGATGATTCGTTGGACTTCGAGGGCAGCAGCGCATCCAACAGGATGGCCCTGATAAGTATGTCCGTGTGAAAATGAGCTGTATCGTGATTAGTCAACCTCGAATGATATGTAGGAGAAGTCTGTAGAGATCTTACCCGCTTCCGTTCTTGAGAGCATCAGCCACACGGTGATTGATGAGCATACCAGCCATGGGCGCGTAACCGCCGCCGAGACCTTTAGCAAGTGTCTGGATATCAGGGATAACTCCCTCTTGTTGCCACGCATGTAGAGAGCCGCAGCGACCCATGCCGGACATGACCTCTTCACGTATGTCAGTGTTTATTTGGTACAAAATGATTTAGACGTGCGCCTTAGGCTCAGTGTTCTTACCATCCAAGATAAGTAGGGCGCCATACTTGTCGCAGACCTTTCTAATAGCCCTGAAATATCCAGGCAGAGCTGGAATACAACCCAGAGTCTGTAGGAATGAATATTAAGACGAGTTTATAATAGTTGAGACATTAGAGGACTACTTACTGCACCAACAATAGGCTCTGCGACAAATGCGCATACCGAATCGGGGCCAAGCTCTTGGAATTTCTGGTCCAGCTCATCGGCCAGTTGACTGACGTATTCCTGCTCGGTCTGACCCTCGCTCATACCGCGGTACGGGTTGCAAGCTGACACTCTGTATATGTTCGGAAGCAGCATATCGAGGAAGAGACTCCGCCGCGCGACATGCCCGCTCATTGACAGCGAACCAAGAGTTGTACCATGGTATGATCCTTCTCTGGCAATGAAATTGATCCGCTTTGGCTGCTGAGGAGACAATTCCACAAAATACTGTCGTGCCATCTTCATTGCGGATTCCATAGCCTCAGAGCCTAGGAGCGTTAGTCTCAAGTGTTTGTTATCATTTCCTCTCAAAGGGGCTGAGAGTATACCTGAGCACATGATGTACGCTTTCGACATGGCACCGCCTGTGCCGTCAATGAGTTCATCAGCAAGCTTCTCCCCAATCTCGTGGCCAAAGAACATGGAGTTGCAATAGGCAAACTTGTCAATTTGCTCAACCATGGCTTTCTTGACTCGTTCATTGTTCGATCCTATGCATGCTACTGCTGCGCCGCATGTTGAATCCAAGATGGTTCGGCCATCAGAAAATGTTAGATGTTTGCCCTTTGCTGATACCACATGTGGCGGCGCGCTTTTCAGTGAGCGGTGGAGGACTGCACTGGCAGATGGAATCCCGTTCACGACGGGGTTGAGTGTTGATACGAATTCTGGACCAAGCTTGGCGGCTGTCTTTGCCATCTTTTGCGACGCAGTAGCCATCTCAAAAGTATTTATCATAGCCGGTTAAGTGGACAGAACAAGATAGACGTAATACTCGAGGGTTCGCGAGGTTGAGAGCAGAGACACTGGAGGTAATAAGCTTTGTGACCACATGTGGGAGGTGGGCTAGAAATATACCTAGTCCTAAGCATGTCACCTTGTATCGTTATCGTTGCTCTGATCTGAAAGCTGGTCAATATTGGAGGCTGACTATCTGATACGGTATCATATGGGCTCAAGGCGTATCTGCATGGCGTATCTGGCGTGTGTGGAGGCTTTGCATCGGCCTAAGGCGGGGTAAGGACCGGTTCCGATCTTGTTGGTCTCTGTAGATCTAGTCGTGAGCTTAAAGATTATTGGTTCAGCATCGCTTGCTGAGCATGGGTTATACGTGGTCGCCGACCTGACGCTCAATGTAGCTAGCCTTTGTTTGTGCATTTCCATCATTTTAGTAGACTCTTGTGAATTGTACCGATAACCGGCCCTAAGTCAAGAGAAGATGTTCCCCAGTCTCGTCCAAGATGTCAGTCCAGTCTGCTTCATCTGTCAAACCTGAGTTTTGCCGCCTTTGCCATAAATCTTCTAGTATTATCAAAGAACGAGAAATATTCTGGAATCGTCGTTTCTGCAACGTCATCTGCAACCGAACACGAACAGCATCCATGTGTTCGTCCTCAGTCGCCTCGCCGCCAGCAAGGAAGAGAGGGAAGAGTATTGCCGACTCGGTATGTGACCCGACCGGAATATCTGAGACGTGCCTCAGGATGTTAGACACCTGCGTCCGCATCTTTGTCGGTAGCATCTCCTCTGTCATGGCTTCAGAGCTTGCTCCTTGAGTGGACTCTTCCTCTGAACTCAGGCGACTCCGTATCAGTCGGAATAGCACAATAAGGACAGCGCTCCTGAATGCATGCGCCAGAGCAGCAAGTTCTGGAGCGGCATCTGGCCTGCATCGCCAGTCTTGCAGCTCTTGCTCGACTCCTTCGCAGGTGGCATGGAACAACTTCTTTCTTCTGGTTATCTCCTCAGCCCCCAGAGCAACATCGAGTCTGGTCTCTTCATCGATGCTACTCAAAGTAGCTACATGGCGTAAAAGATCTGTGGCGACGCCTAGGTAGGTGTCGACAACGTCTGTGATGCCATCCAGATAACTGCAGTCTAGCAGCGGCCTCCTCCGCATGGTCACACTCCCAATCATGTCGTGATACGCAAAGTTTCGAAGAATCCACTGACCCTCGGAGCTCCGTTTGAAGACTTCAGGTCCTCGCAAGGTCGTCCCTGAGCTTGGATTGACCACGGCGGACTCGATGATGAGCTTGGCACCGTTGAGGTGGGCACACCACCCGTCGTTATCTCCTACGCATACCTCACCTATGACAAAGGCCAAGCATGTTGCTGCTTTGATTTCGTACCATGTGATTTCATGTTGTGGTTTTGCGAGGGCTGTGGCGAGGTTGGTGATTGCTGTCGAGTGTGCTTCTAAGGCAGAGACCCGATATGACTCATTCGTGAGTGACAAGTGACCAGAAGCAAATGCGACCAGTGCATCGTAAAGCACACTCGATTCCATAGCCATTGGTAGAAACTCTGAAAGATTCTAAGTGTCAGTTGCAGCCCATCGAGACATATGGAAGTGCATCCAATTCATTCAGAGAGTGACGAACCAGATAGGAACGAGTTGAACTGCTCGCTTGCAGTCAAAAAATGGCTCAGCACTGTAATGTAGTATCGCATTACTTGTCGCTTTTGAGGCGGTTCGCCTTGGTCCACGCCCGGAGGTGAAGCAAGCAACGGAAAACATGACGATAACGGTTGATGCGAGTTATCTCTCGTCGACGGTCGTAGCGCCTGAGTTGCCTGCAGTGTGCTCTTCTTCTGTTCGACCCAGGTAGTCGGGACTACATCGCGAGCCGTCGATCGCACGCATTTCAGATTCAACCTGGAGCATGTTCCACAGATTGGAAACGTGTTCTCGACGCACTTCTTCCTCCTAATGTTCCAAGAATACTTATCAGAATGAGAGATCCCGCGATAGGGTTATCGGCGAGGCGGGCTTACCGATATCGGCAGGTCAGACATCCCGTTTTGTCGTGTTTGGAGCCCTTTCGTCGCCGCGTTTCTGATTGAAATTGTAAAGACATGGCGGCCTCGGGTTGACCTTCCATTATGACAGGCAAGCAACGTTGCTATGATCCAACTCCGGCGTGTTGGGCGTAACAGACAACAAACACGTGGGGGGAATCTTGATGTCAAGGAGGAAAAAGAGGGACTCTTTCAGCGGCCCAAGCACGGTGAGTGGATTACGGGGAGAAGCAACGGAAGTTTCCATTCAGTTATTACTGGGATACTTGCCTGATCAGTCCTAGCACCAAATTTGTCGGTATTAATGTCTTTCCCCGCCATGGACGAGCGCCCTCGGCCCCTCACAACGGAGTTAAACATCTTGAGTCTTTGTAGGAATTCTTATTCGCTGATTCAACTTGACAGACTTATCTCTTTTCTGATTATATCTTATCAAAAATCCAGGATGCTTCCCCCCCTTCGCTATCTTTAGCTATCAGCCAACTGCCGAGGTGCATGACTCGAGCCAAGGGCTGACAGGTCGGAATACGTCGCTGGAAAGAATTGCGGAATGCTTTCCGTAATTAGCCAAAGAGTCAGCTCTACTCAAAGAGAACCTGAAAACTCAAACGCAAACAATCGGGCATCAGCCAGAGCGGCAACTCGGTGCGGCACTACAAGTCGCTTGTACTCTTCGCTCGCAATTGTGTCTCTGAAAACTCCAATATTCTCGTATTGCACAAGAGCCACTTCATCCCAATCATCGTCCTCCAGCCCTAGCACCTTCCCAACCATTTTGCCGGAGAATGGGACACGAGTGCCATTCATTGTAGGAAGGGCGAAAAAAGCAGGCACGTAACGTTGTTGCCACGCATCTTGACCGCTACAAGCGGGGAGAGAGCGGAAATCGGCTGGAGCGGTAGGGTCGTAAATAGCGACGGGGCGAAACTTCAAAATATTGAGCATGTAGACCGGTTTGTTAGGATCGATAGGACCGATGGCATCTTTGACTGCTGCTATGTCCGTAAGCTCAGTGGCAGGCATTGGAAGATACAGATGTGAGTAATTCTAAGTGACGCGAGCCGACTAGTTGTTTTATGTCATGTGGTTTGCTGAGACACAGCTGAAAGTGAGACCAAGGCTTCCCTTAGCCTTTTGTACATGCTGGTGGAACGAGTTGACATATTGACCGGCCCGTCCCATTCTAGACTTTTGCGGATGACAAACGTTAGTTGCGGATAGCCTAGCCAATTCTTCAGCCACTGGCCAACCTAAGCCTGGGCTAAGTGTCTACCTCACTTAGCACATCACTGAACGGCGCTATTTGATAATGACATTTGAACGGTGGAATATTTGAGCAATTGCACTCTGTATCAGATTGGCTATTTTGGGTTTGTCATCGATTCCATACGGCTACAGGGCTTTTGCTCCACGAGAGGTCGGAGCCGGGTAAGTTACGTGAAATGGCACGTCGCAGCAGGGTCCAAATAGGTAAGCCTAGAGCATCGGGAAAGTATGTAATTCATCCGCTCTGGATTACCAATTCCCTTGACGTGTATTCAAGTCTCTCATCCGTCGGGTCCGGCATCAGAGAAGCTATCATACGAACCTGAGAGAGGTCGCACGACATCCCCAAACACCTGACAACTTTAAAATGAACTCAGTTACCTACTGTATAAGAGAGTGTAGGAACTTAGGCTCTCTAAGGACTTATCCGACTACTCATCATGTTTGCTTCTTATGACTAGTCATTTTACGGAGTTAACGTATTGGGACGAATGTTGTAATTCTCCCAGTCAATACCAGTCGTACGGTGTGGGCCGTCACGCAGGACCCACACTTTCTTCCCATCACGAAGAATGGTTTAGTCAATACTATACAACCAAGTGACGGCTCACATCGTACGCCTGTTGCTGACCGTGAGATTTCTGACATTCTTCCTAATACGTTTACTCCGTAAAATGAGTTACTATGACAATCAGACATGTCATAGACCACACACTCTGTGAGCTTGGTTGAGTCGGTCTCGCTCCGCTGTCTCTCACAAATCCGACAATGAACTCCGACCTTCCTAACCACTACTGAGATGTATAAATACAGAGGATTCCTTTGAGTCCATAGACTGTTTGTTTCCTCCAGCACACCGCACAATTGGATCAGTTTTCTAAGAAGCTTCCTCATACCAACTTGAACCGTCTTCATTAGCGACCAATTACCTATCAGTGAGCAACACTACACCTATACGCGAGCAAACAGCTGATGAGATTGTCAGATATGAAGACCTATACTATCCTCGCCATTGCCGCCCAGGCTGCGGTTGTCCTCGCCAACTGCAAAGTCCAGCTTCTCGATGGCAACAGCTTTCAGCTTGGCACTGCCTGCATACCCAAGGGCGGACAGGGCCACATCACCGTCAACGGTCGTAACTGGTTCATCGATGCGACGACCAGCTGCGGGCTGAGCTTTATCAGCACCCAGAACCCCCCTTCCGGATGGCAGCTCAAGTCCCTCGGCAGCTGCTGAGATCTTGAGGCGTGGGGCAGCTAGAACGTCCACCTTCAACTGGACAGGCCCATGCCACCCGAGTAACTTCTGGGATATTAGTCACTTAGCTATCACATAGAGAAGAAGGCTTTCCAGTAGGGGAAAAAGGATTTGGCAACAGTCGATTGTTGTAACATCGATCTCAACGCTCAGTTGAAAGCCTATCGAATGTATTTCATTACATTTTTAAGGCTCAGGGGGCGCATAGGAATTGAATAACAACATATTTACTGTTTTAACACGTTGCGTAAATGCTGAATCTGAAAATTCGTCATCTTTTCGCAACCGGCTCCCGGAGATGAATGTGATGCTAGTATGGTAGGATGACCGAACATGGGGGTGATTTGCCCCTATCGGTTTTGTATGAGAGGCAAGATTGGTGTATGATTTCTTGCTTGCCTCCGACGAGTTCCGTCAGCTGGTCCGCGCCGATGTCGATTTGAACTGATCGCACGATGTACTAACCCTACTAACACCAATGCTATCTTTTATCAGTTTTCAAATTAGTTTGTGTCTGGTAAACTTTGCCCTCAAAGAGGTATGAAGCCCCATGTGCTCGAGCATGGAATGTGAACAAGCGTCCAGAAATCTTACGAGCGATGCTTTGGATTATTGTGAAATTTGAATTGAGACTTCTAATTCTTACTTCTTATCTCTTCCTCCTTCGCTTAATCTTATACCGCCTGAATCAGAGAGGGGTCTGCCTAGCTATACGAGGCGAATGGTGCTAAATAGTCGTCTTTCCTACCCATCGTATATTCATCCGTAGCACTATTTGTCTGCTTTCACCAATGGCTAAGTTATAATACCGAAGAATGATAGTCTTGATGAGTAGATGAGTTGTGTGAATGTGGGCCTTTTCACTTATTCTCTATTCGCTCATCCAAGACACTTGCAGATCAACAATCAGAGCTTTCGATGTGACCAGCATATTTTCAGTAGCAATAGCACGCACAGGAGAAATCCATAGCTAGTGCGTCAATCTGGCTGAGGAGCAATATGCTCTCAAAGTCTGATTATAAGCAACTCCGAGGAATTTAATTACTAATCGTATCAAATTCTAATCGTTATCAAACATAAGACCCCTATCCCATTCGATCCGAGCTACTACCTACTTGCTGCACATATCTCGATAGAAATGCGGAGCAGAGGGGTTTAGGTAGAGAAAGCGTATAGTATCATTTCCATTTGCCCTTTGATTCTAAATATCGAATAGTATCAGTCGTCGAGCACGCAGTTGAGAAATCAGAGAACATATGGTTTAATAATCAGTGAAACAAAATATGGTAGAAGAAGTCAGACTCAACGCCCTCAGAACTGGGCAACGCTACATGTGGAGGCCTTTGGTGTTCTGGCCGAGATGACGTAGAAGACCTGTCACGAAATCAAGTCGGGCGTCTGACAAATAGCGTCCGGCGGCGTTTCTGACCAGAAATCTATCCTCATCCGCCTGCTTCGCTCACATATGAGCTGTCATAGTCCATTGTGTATCCTCGGTATTAGGTGTTGAGTAATCATCAACAAGGAGACACGCCGCAGAGAAGCCGTCTCACTGACTACAATTCAATGATTGATTCTAGCCCATCCCCATAACCTGCTTCTCTAACCCGTTCCTCCGATTGACAAGTGCATTTAGCAATTGATTTCTGTACATTGATTTAGAAGCCTATATTCATACCGGCCAGATTGATCATAGCACCATATCTATAAGATCCGCCATGTCGCTTCTCAATTCTGCAAATGCTGGCTACATCATCGCCGCCCTTTGCATGGTCTTCTCCGCCTATGTCAGTAGGAAGCTACCTCATCTGTTTGGGTGGGGCGGTTCTCTCGACTCAAAATATGCTAATGGTTTTCCGAACAGGTTCTTCTCAGAGGACTGACCTGCTCGATCAGTCATGTACCTGGCCCGTGGCATACTTGCTTCGTCAACTATACTCTAAAATTCCATGTGCTCGTAGGTCGTCGAATGCACTACGTACACTCTCTCCACCAAAAGTACGGATCATTTGTGCGAATCTCGCCCAATGAAGTCGCAATCGCGGACCCCGAGTCGTTTACTGCAATTCACAAGATTGGCTCTGGCTTCACCAAAGGGCCATGGTACTCTGAGGTCATAGATGGGCGTGAGCCAGGCATTGTCTTCATCACCGATCCCAAGGAGCATGCTGTGAGGCGCAGGCTGTTTTCTAGAGCCTTTACGAGCCTCTCGCTGCGCGAGAATTGGGAGTTGGTTGTTCGAGAGAAGGTTGAATTAGCTGTAGACCGTATTCGGGCGGATGCTTTGAAGGGTAAAGCCGATATTCTCAAGTGGTGGATGCTCATGACGACGGACGTTATTGCCCACTTGTCTTTTGGCGAGTCTTTCAAGACACTAGAACTCGGCGAGGTCAGTTTAACAAATCTTGGTTAGACGTAACGCTGAATTCTATTAGAAAAGCTCCTACATCCACGCGTTGGAAATGCTCTTCACA